TTTCAACTTCAGTGTAAAACAGCGTTTTTACGATTCAAACCTGCAATTACCCGCGATATATAATTTACAGTAGACGTGTTGACAACATAACAAGCTCCTACACCACGCTAAATAATTGTTCGTCACATACATAAAGATCTTTAGGAATTTTTTCAGAACATGTTTTCTTCGCACGTAGCGTCACCATGGACTTCAGCCAAAGCCAAATTTCTGGCCTTTGCGATGCCATAAAAATTTGAAGAAAAATTGTTTTTCGGTAGGTCAAGTTTCTTATTCATAGCAAAGTGATTTTCGGTTGGTCCGATATTTTAAGCCAGGCAATTTAGGTGCAAATAAAACACCTGTTTTCTAAACAACCACCGTGTTTAGAGGTTCTCGTTTTACGCGTAAAAGCATTCACGTTTCTCGCGCAACATGTGGTATTTTATCTGAGTGTTTTACTAATTTGGCTCCCGCCGCAACGATCAAGTAACTTTCAACCTAAAAAAGCACGCTCTAAATAGTTTGTTGAAGAACTTTTAATTTCCCAGCGCTGGAAAAATCGAGAACAAAATCAGTAAATGATTTTTGAGGACAGTCTTTAAACCCCGAGAAGTCGATTGCATGTAAAAGGTTTCGGAAAAAAAATCGCTTGGTCGGAGTTCGTAATCTTAGATTTGAAAGGGACTAGATAAATTTAAAGGGATTCGAGATTTCCTAAGGCCTTCACTTGAAATGGAAGACAACTAAAAATCACAGACAAAATACTAGTTCAGTTTAGAAAAACACCCTGCCGAAATCACAGATAAACACGGGCTTGAAGAGAGACAGACTGTGGTGACGAATCAAAGCTTAGAATAACAATATTAGCATCACAGTCAACCTTAACAAATAACGAGTGTGTTTATATTTACTTATCATAAACAAGCAAACGTTTGGAAAATTCCACTTAAAACAAGATCACAATTAACACGGCCACGTTGAAACAAAATCAGTAAAAAGCGTGGCTGGTGTGATTGTTAAAAGACTTCACTTCACGAATTTCCGAGTTAGCTGGATTCATTACACTCTTTTTAACTGCAGGTGGGATCGAAGCTTAATGGGGAACTTCACTTTGGTCTCGTCAAAAGGCGAAATAAAGAACTCTGCCCCCAAATTAACTTAACGAAAGCTATAACTATTAGGCACCAAAGTTGTTAAGTTCATTTTGTATGGGGCACTTGAGTTAAGCGGCCTTAATTCGGACCGCTTCCGGAACAAAGTACAGGCTTCAGCACTTAATTGGCTTTCATTTCTTAGCTGGGGCGAGCACGCCCAGTTTTACTGAATTATTCGAGTTTATTGTAACAAAAATAAATGAGAAAATGCAGCTGTTTTGTGTGACATGCACGACCTAAATATTCAACCCCCAAAAGAATCCCCACAAAAAATGGAGGCAAACTCCTACAGGAATTAAAGCGCCATGAAACAGTTGAGTCGAGGTTCGTCATCAATTCATTCACCGCAAAGCAAGCAGGTTCCGCATTCATGTGTGAGTCTGTAGTTTAGCAGAAAACATCTTAAATGGGCGGCATTCCGTAGGTACGACTGGTGTTCTGTCACTCAGCTCCACGATGAAGCAGGTATGAAAAGAAAGTGCATAGCAAATTTCGAGTGAGTTCAAGAGCCAACTTGAAACGAACTTCGGACGAATTTAACACACGCGAGCTAGTGCAATCTTGTCCTGTCTTCCGCCCCTAACAGACCATATGTTACTCTGGTGGGAAAAGGCTTTTCTAGAGGGCATGGCCGTGAATTCTCTAACAAAAGGAAATTTTCAGGACAGCAGGTGTCAAATGAGGTGAAGTGTTGCCGAATGAACAAAGGAGTTCCATATCAAAGAGCACTGTAGAAATGAAAAATAATTTTGGAACCGGCGAGCTAGAAAATAAACAAGCCCTGAATTATAGAATTACTAGCCAAAAGGTTGATGAATTCGTTACTCGTCAAAATTATTAATAATCACAAAATCACGATGCTTCCAGTTTGATGTGTAGTAGTCATTTTATTTACAGATGTTAGAAATTTCCAGCCACGTTTTCCGATCGAAGTTTTAGTAGTTTTATTTTTTTTGACAGCCGTGAATTAAAAGACATGTTTGGAAAATTTAAGATATCTGCTTGAGAGTCTAATAATAACTCAGTGCGATTAGCAAGCCGCTAGGGAAGAAAAAATCTTTACTGGCTTCGGCGAAAACAGGAAACAAATAAGCGCAACTACATTGTTAATGAAAAAATAAACAAATTGTGCAGTGGTTTCCAAATCAGGTCCTTCCGTTTCTGTTATTTCTTCTGATAACTTCTTCCTAACACTCGCTGTTCTGTCAGGAAATCGCAGTTGTTTTCGAATTTCAAAGACTGAAAGACATCGAGACCTAGTCTGGCTTTTCAATAATAATCCAAAGAACAATCTTGTAAACGTGCAGGGAATTTTAAAATTACTAAAACATTAATTGGATGATGTGGAACTTTGCATCGAAACTTGTTGGGCGATTTATTTTTTGTCGTACTAAAGTTAAAATAAATCTCTTTGTTTGTCCACCAACTGTTCTCTTTTTACGTTTCTCAGAAGCTCAGCAGGGAATATTTTCGTTATCCTGACTAACAAAGGAAATAACAATTGCTTTATCAGACCGATCTTTGCCAGTGGTTATGAACTCGACCGTTTTCCACAGACCACGAGTCAAGTGTTATCAATGGTTTCTTCCCGCTGCAATTAAAACTTCAAACGGCCCCATTTCGTGAAAGACACAACCTTCTTCTTTACTTTTCTCAGGCCTTAGTCCATCAAAACAGAAACAGTTTCAAGCCAATTGCACTGACAAAGCGGATAAATTGCTTATGGCAAGCCGTTCCGGAACATCTTTCGCTTTTAAGTATTAAGTGCACTAGTTAAAATCGATAACAAAGGTTGAATTCAAAGTAAGGGTTAAAAAGATGTCCTTCCCGCATCAATCAATCAATAAAACTGTGCTTGAAAGAAGGAAATTGGGCTGGACAGATATTTTTTTGTCAGTGAAGCACTTGAAAATTTTCAACCACCAGCTGGTAACGGCTGGTGAGTTTGTTTTTCAAATTTTGAGTTCAGGAGTTTGTCTAAAACTTCGGAAGTAAAACGAAAACAATTCCGAAAAAAATAGTTTATATAAGCTCAGCGGGGGTTGTGATTTTGAGGCAGTTTGTCCAGATGAACACTTTGGCGCTTCACAACGAGCTAATAGAAAAGCAAATAAACACAGCAATGTGTACTTGATTTAATTAGGTTCATTGTTCGCTACGCACTGCGTTAGGCCGGTTGAAATCTACACTGTCGGCTGTTTTCTAAAGTCCACGTGCAATAAAAAGCGATGTTTAATTCATGTGGGCACCAAAAGTGTAGATTAGAAAGATTGAATTCAATTCTAGGGGTTTTAGTTGTAATAACTCCCTTTCTTTTGAAATCAAAAGTGTGAAAGCGGAAAACAACAAAAGAGTTCGAACAGGCTTTCTTCAAAAGACGAAATCGAAATTGGTTGTCATTACCGGAGGTTTTGGGCGATTTTTTTTTTTTTTTTTTTTTTTGATACACGGGACTCAAGATTCCTCTCCACAGAACGCGGGACAATTAAAACACCCCAAAGCCAAAATGTGTTTCCTAATTCCATTAGCGAATTTTCGGGTGGCGGCAGGAGAAATGTAAACATTCCTACCATAAACAAATCTATTAACACGAACAAAATGTTATGTAAATATACGCGTTTACCTTTCTAATTTAAAAGATATCTTGTTAAAACCGTGTTTAACATCCAGTCGATGCCATCGCGCGCTGTTCCCAGGTTAGGACCCGAGATTGGCTTGATTTCTTCACCGCTAAACATACACAAACCGATGAAATTAATTCAAACCAGATCTTTATCGGTTTTGACAGACAAGACAAGGTTTACAAACACAATGGAAACCCAGTGAAATGCCCGCGTAACCACGGCCTGTCGATAGATGACAAATGCGCGTTCAAACGACAAGAACGTGCGCTTGATGTGAACATCAATTGATATTGTAAATACAACTATAAACCCTTAGATAGATTGACTGTACTAGTTTAATCTCTTTGCCTGTCAAGCGCCTATGAAGAGGGGGCGTACCATCGCAATTTGCACTCAAATTTGAACAAGCCGGTAATATGACCGTAGCTGGAAGAGTTTTTAACATTCCCTATAATTAACACTTAAAAGTCGGACCCTAAGGCTGGTTTGACCTACTAAATCGGTTCCCCTATTATGCGTCTAGCTCCTCCGCTAGAACAATGAGCCTGTTCGATTAAATGCAGGCCTGCAGCTGGAATGCTTATCACACGTTTAAATTGTAGGTGTGATTTATTGTACGGGGAGTAGTTAATGCGCTCTGCGAGCAGACGGCACGTCAATCATGAAGCGGCACATCAAAAGGGATCTAATTAAATCTATCAGTTTTTAAGGCCATAGATAATTTCGCAAACCACGCCTGATAGCTCAATATTTTCCTTGCGTGTGTGTTGAACGCGGAGCTCCTGATCCAAAAGGCAAACACAAGTCAGTCAGGGGCAAAGAAGGAACGGCGGACAGTACACAAGGGGTGTCGAAGCGCGAAGTGGAAAACCGCCCGTGTTAACCCAATTCATCGTTTTCTAAATCACTGCAATCTTAACCCGGCGGGATTCTTTGATCATCATTCAGGTATGAGAAATGGGTCAGTTCGTGCATAAAGTCATTTAGTATTTTTAGCGAACCCTAGAAAAATTCGCCCCTCAAAGTTCACTGCTGACAAAAGTTACTTGCAAATGCATTCGTATGGAATTTGGAAGTTTGATCAAAATGGTGTTTGTTTGTCAAAAGGTTACGCCGCTCACCGAACCTTGTTAGTAACACAATACGAAAACCGCACGAAGCCGAAGTTACAAATTTGTTATGTTTCTGCTATTTTCCTCGAGTTCTAGAATTCTTGCTTGAAAACGCCTTAAAACTCTTTCTTTTTTCTACTTCAGAAAATTTCCTATTTGTTCAAACCTCATCGCATTTATTGAGGGGATTAATTTTGTATCGTGTTATTATTGAAATCAGTTGTAGGTACCTTGGTGTGAATACATGCGTACTTTATAAACAAGCTTACCAATGCTTATAATTACAGTATTCCTTGCTAAAGCGCTACACCACAGGAAATCCGCTTTAAGAAACACCACATAGTGTGTCGAACCATTCGCCATTTATAGTCTTTATACAAACCCATTAGAAAGTTATAATCTGACTAGAAACCCCGCAGTTACAAGTTAGTGGACAACAACAGAATCTGCCGGTCCATGGGGCAGACAAGGAAATTCGATTTGAGTAGCATTTTGTCTTAAGTTATCCAGTACTTCGACAGCACTCTTTGAAATATCAATTATCTTCCTCAACAGTTACAAAACAATTATCCCCGGCGCCCTGAAAATCACATTTCAAAACAGGCGAAGATTAAATACTTCCTTCAGAGTTAATCGTAATGGCGGATTAGGCTGAGAGATTTTTAAATGGACAAAGACTACCATTTAGGACCTGTCTCTGTATCCGGAAAGAAAAGGTGCTTTGTTTTGGAATAGGTGGAAGGGTAGATTTTGCTCGAAGTCAAAACATAGAGCAGGTTTCGAAGCTAGTACACGGCTGAGTAACTGTAAAGTACTGTCTTTATGGAATCATATTTATCGAACAACCCTAGACCGCCCCTTTCTCAACTGCAGAACGCCCCGTCCGCGTTCGTGCCACCCACCGGAGCGTATTTATATCGCAGGCATGTTTCGACAAAACAGCAACAGTATGTATGTCCTATACTTCTGCTATCAGATAGCGTTTACATGACACTTAATCTAGCGCGCGAGAATGAACTTTATACAAGAACTTACGCCGTATTGTAAAGGATTTGCAATTGAAACAATTATGGTTTCCGCTTGCAATCGAGAGGTGTGAAGTGGAAGGAACTCGAGGTTTTTGTCAGTGCAGCTGGGAGCGAAATGGCTGGCTAAAATTGTCAACATTTTGTTGAGCTGAAAATTTCACATTGACGTCCGCCTGTAGGCTTTTGTATTGTTGGTATGGATTGGTTCCGAATAATGGCTCCATTTGGAGAAACTTATTATATATCAACAAATCCCTATCATTCAATCACATTGTGTCATGAACAGGCTTTCTGTTAAGCTGATTGGTTGTAAACAAGAGCGGCGGCATCTCAAAAGAAGACGTACTTGGGGTTTTGGCTGAATTAAATCAACAGTCCATTTCGAAGCTCGTGGGGCGTACAAAGTGCTGGTGAATTCGTCGACCAAAATAGATCACAAAACAGCCCCGAATAGGCCCGAGCAGAGGTTCTATGAACAGGGGTTTCTTTCGCCAGGTTTGTTCCGTTGTATTTGTTCAGGAATTTAACGTGATTTGATTAGCAACTATAAGCTGATTACATGCACCGCGCGCGTGCTAATACGATCTCTTTGACGCTGTACACGCTCGATTTGTACTTCTTTCAGGAGCCGGGAACAGCGACAGATTGCAGATTGACACCTCTTGCGATGCTCGCAGCGACTTGTAGCAGAATAGGACAACAAAGCCCGCCACCGGTATCTGACGTGACTATGGCAAAAGGGTTCTACCACTGGAAACAGCCAACTTCACTGCCAATCCAGCGAGGAAGGCCGGCTGATGCGGGATTGTATTCGAACTTGCCTTCAGCATTCATCCCAGCTAGCGAGTCTTTAAGTGTACAGAACCACGACAGCTTTCTCCCCAGCCCAAACTATTCGTCAGGGCATAATTCGCTCACAGACCCACTGGCTATAGCCTCGGCAAGTCGCGTGCACTCTGCCTCTGTCGAAGCGTCCATGTACCCTCCGCGTATGCCGCATCCTTACGAAGGTTCGCCCTGGTTTAAACCTCCTCTAGAGCCTCACACGCAGGCTTCTGCACGGCAGGCGTTCTGGGAAGTACACAGCAATACCCCGTGGCTAGATCAAGCAGTTTCGGGCAGTTCATTTCACCCAACTTTGAGCCATTTTACAGGACTGCCACACGAATTTTCCACAGGAAGTTTACCCATTCCTGCTGCGGTTTCCGTGGCTAGCCATCCACACTTTCTGCCCCCTCCTTGTCTTGGTTCCGATCCTATGAAGACTTCTCTTCCAACTTACATAGATGGACCTTCGTATTTTCCTGGGACACCAGGATTACTGCCGTCGACGCAGAGTGTAGCCGCAAGAGCGACTCGACGGTACACGGGTCGAGCGACTTGCGACTGTCCGAATTGTCAAGACAATGAAAGACTAAGCGCTGCCGGTGCTCCTTTTCGGAAAAAAACTCAACATATCTGTCACATTCCTGGTTGCGGCAAAGTGTACGGGAAAACCTCACATCTCAAAGCACATCTCCGCTGGCACACTGGCGAGCGGCCATTTGTGTGTAACTGGTTATTTTGCGGAAAGCGGTTCACACGCTCTGACGAACTTCAGAGACATTTACGAACGCACACGGGCGAGAAACGGTTCGCTTGTCCCATCTGCAATAAACGTTTTATGCGAAGTGATCACCTTGCCAAGCACGTTAAAACCCACAATAATGATTCGGTGAGGAAAGGAGACTCGGAGAAAGACGAAAAAGAGGAAGGAAAAGCAATCACAGATGGCGACAGTGAACGAACTTGTAACTTATCTGAAAATGGCGAGAGTGACAAGATCGTGTAGTCTGACCGAGACAAAACGTAAGACATTACGAATTTAATGACAAAATGTTTTTCTCTCAAGCCTATTATATTCTTTCCACGATATAAAAGCTCTGACATCGTAAATTCAGTGCTTAAATCGTTTCTGAACTCGAAGATGAGAAACTAATAGAAACTTTGTATATTATGGGTGACGTCGGCTCGCAAAGCAGAGGTATAAAATTTCCTAGTTCAGAGATTGTTTCAGTGATGCATACAGTTACCAATATGGCTCTTGCTAGCTAAGATTGAGAGTTTGAAACCCACATGAATAGTGTGCGATTCTGATTGAATGGAAATCGTTCTTGAATTGACTACTGATATCTACTGTACAGAACAATACGTGAAAATTCCTCGTCTGAGAGAGAGAGAAAGATATAACATTGATATGCTATGAAAATAACAAATTTTTTGGCCTTGTTCAATTGTATTTAAAGGCTGTAAGTTTTAAGTTATTTAATTGAACAAGCTGACACATTTGACTTCAGGTTATTTACAGTTGAAATGTACATAAAAGTGAAGAGCTAAGCTGAATCTTGCGACTACATTAAAGAGACCACTGATTCGATTGCAAGAGTTGTCTGTCTGTGAAGACGTGAGATGGGTTGTTGGTCTCGTTATCTGCAAATTTATGTCTTTTTCGAGTGCGAATTACACCATAGTGCCATTATTAAGATAATAGTCGAATAAGTTTTTCGAAAACACTGGTTTCCCGGTGAGCACTACAATGGGTTCCTCCACGGGGCAGTGAGATGGCTTTCATCAGCTGATCACGAACAGTAAAGGATTTGAAATGGCTTCCCACAGTACAGTAGTTACATCTATACTGGTGACCACTCCATGGTATTGTTTCCTTAAATCGCTTCGATTAGACCACGATTTACAAACACACGGTCGATGGACACGTATTTTGTGAACTTTTATCCCTTTCCGATCGAGATACTCTACTGATTCTGATAGGCACTGTGTATCAACTGTTTTATTATCAAATGATGTAGAGAAATCTTTAAGAATTCTTTAGTGAGGCCTCAGAGTGTCTATCTGCTTCACAGATTTACACTGATTTCTTTTTCGCTTTTGTTCAATCCTGATGCAGACCACGCACTTGAAAAGCGTTAATTTTACAATGGCACTTGAAATCATTTGCCAAAGATCGAAGATGCTGTCCTCTATTTACAAAGCATACAAACACTGACCCCAGACAAATCTATTGCAATTCTACACAATTATTAACAACCGGCTTTTTTTCAGAACGGTACACAAACATATATTAGAAGTTAAACGAATACCTTACAGTCAGTAGCAAAGTTTTCGCATGTTGCAAAACTAACTGTCTTTAGGTCTCTTTGGCAAGATCTTCTAAAAACCATTTGCTGTACTTTATTATGTCGGAACAAAACCCAACTTTTCAAAAACAAATATGTTTTCCATTAATTTGTCCGTGAAATTTTCCGCGTCGTTTATACCTGAAATGCACCCAAATTTGTGCGGGGCTAATCGAACGATTCACGCACGGAAGTGTACAGATTAAAGTGTAAAATAAATTCGAGAGGAAACGTTTTATTTGTAATTCTTATCAACTGAAATGAAGTGCTTTCTTCACACCCACTTGGAGCGTTTCTTGTCCAGCCTTCCGAGATAGGGGACGGATAATTATTCCCACTCTAGTGGCAGTTAAGCCCTCTATATATGAACAAAGGAAAGCCTTCTTTTACTTTTCAATCTTCATTTAAGTAGAAGGCGCTTGCTTGCTTGCCGCCGCACGGGTGTCATATTCAGATAATTGAAATAATCACAAGGCAAGCTGTTTGACAAGCCGGCACTCCTCCAAGATCACTTTTATAAACACACAAATTCCTTTTCACACTCGCCTCTTTACTTAGTAGTTAGTGTGCAAGCTCATTCGCGCGCGTGTTTCACCCATCGGGCACCCCGCGTGCTAAGCCTACCACGAAAGCAAACACACTTTCATCCCTGACAAGTCTGAGAAATTGAGTTTAATTTTCTTCTAAAGACAACATAAACAACTCGGCGTGGTGTAAAAAGATCGTATTTCCTACTTCGCCCAAGGCTATGGAAAAAATTGTGATTGATGTAGGTCGTATTTATTAAAAAGAAGTCGCGGTTTTTTTTGTAAGGAAAAAAAATACAGAAGTCATTGGCGACCGGAAAGCCCTTCAAATACAAAGAAACCACAAGGAATTGACGCATGACCGAGCGCCTCTTGTCTCAAAAAGATTTGTTCTTAAAGATCCTTTGCTTCTTTGCTCGAGATAATCACTGTTTTTGTTTGTATCTGCCTTCGATGATATGGCAATTTTAATTCAGTAAGTCCCTTGAGAGTTCTTTCGTTGAGGGCCAACTCAGCCACGCATGATAAGGAACCCAAATTAGTGCTTGTCCGCCGCGCCGACAAAGGGTTTCCAAGACCGCCTCCTTTAAATTAGTGATCAACTTCTTTCGATTGTCTCGCAAAGGTATTACTGCTGTGTTGTTTTTACGCCATTATGAACAGGAGAAAAATAACTCTTGGCCGATCTAATTGCTTTCACAACAGAAACTCAAAGCTTTTAATTGAGATGACCCTGCCGCGCGCTAAAAGTCGAAAATAGGTGTTCTAGGCATTAGATCAAAGTGGAAACCCTGTTTTAAGAGATGAGATGCAAGGAAAAACATCGTCGTATAATTGCGTTTGCATTTAACGGCTTACGATAATTACCAAGGCGTCTCGTTTAATGATACATAATAGTTTTCAAAATATTCTCTATACTTACTTAGCCCTCACGTTGGGGGGTTTATATTGCACTAGAAACAAAACCAAAATTGCAGGGAGACATGACAGAAAAATCGAGAAATTAAACTTGACATTTCGCTTTAGTTTAAAATTCAAACCGTCTGCGCGAGAATGAAAACAAAGTGAAAAACCTCCTCCGGGGTTTTGGCGATAGAATATATTTCGTATACAAAAGAAACTTAGACGGTCTAAAAGAGATTCATTCACCCTTTGGACCCACAAATCCACACTTGAGTTGTTTGTCTTTGAAAACAATCACACCAAAAATTCGCGTAGATAGTAAATGTATGACATTAAAATTACCAGCGGTTTAAAAAAAAAAAAGATATCTTGTTAAAACCGTGTTTAACATCCAGTCGATGCCATCGCGCGCTGTTCCCAGGTTAGGACCCGAGATTGGCTTGATTTCTTCACCGCTAAACATACACAAACCGATGAAATTAATTCAAACCAGATCTTTATCGGTTTTGACAGACAAGACAAGGTTTACAAACACAATGGAAACCCAGTGAAATGCCCGCGTAACCACGGCCTGTCGATAGATGACAAATGCGCGTTCAAACGACAAGAACGTGCGCTTGATGTGAACATCAATTGATATTGTAAATACAACTATAAACCCTTAGATAGATTGACTGTACTAGTTTAATCTCTTTGCCTGTCAAGCGCCTATGAAGAGGGGGCGTACCATCGCAATTTGCACTCAAATTTGAACAAGCCGGTAATATGACCGTAGCTGGAAGAGTTTTTAACATTCCCTATAATTAACACTTAAAAGTCGGACCCTAAGGCTGGTTTGACCTACTAAATCGGTTCCCCTATTATGCGTCTAGCTCCTCCGCTAGAACAATGAGCCTGTTCGATTAAATGCAGGCCTGCAGCTGGAATGCTTATCACACGTTTAAATTGTAGGTGTGATTTATTGTACGGGGAGTAGTTAATGCGCTCTGCGAGCAGACGGCACGTCAATCATGAAGCGGCACATCAAAAGGGATCTAATTAAATCTATCAGTTTTTAAGGCCATAGATAATTTCGCAAACCACGCCTGATAGCTCAATATTTTCCTTGCGTGTGTGTTGAACGCGGAGCTCCTGATCCAAAAGGCAAACACAAGTCAGTCAGGGGCAAAGAAGGAACGGCGGACAGTACACAAGGGGTGTCGAAGCGCGAAGTGGAAAACCGCCCGTGTTAACCCAATTCATCGTTTTCTAAATCACTGCAATCTTAACCCGGCGGGATTCTTTGATCATCATTCAGGTATGAGAAATGGGTCAGTTCGTGCATAAAGTCATTTAGTATTTTTAGCGAACCCTAGAAAAATTCGCCCCTCAAAGTTCACTGCTGACAAAAGTTACTTGCAAATGCATTCGTATGGAATTTGGAAGTTTGATCAAAATGGTGTTTGTTTGTCAAAAGGTTACGCCGCTCACCGAACCTTGTTAGTAACACAATACGAAAACCGCACGAAGCCGAAGTTACAAATTTGTTATGTTTCTGCTATTTTCCTCGAGTTCTAGAATTCTTGCTTGAAAACGCCTTAAAACTCTTTCTTTTTTCTACTTCAGAAAATTTCCTATTTGTTCAAACCTCATCGCATTTATTGAGGGGATTAATTTTGTATCGTGTTATTATTGAAATCAGTTGTAGGTACCTTGGTGTGAATACATGCGTACTTTATAAACAAGCTTACCAATGCTTATAATTACAGTATTCCTTGCTAAAGCGCTACACCACAGGAAATCCGCTTTAAGAAACACCACATAGTGTGTCGAACCATTCGCCATTTATAGTCTTTATACAAACCCATTAGAAAGTTATAATCTGACTAGAAACCCCGCAGTTACAAGTTAGTGGACAACAACAGAATCTGCCGGTCCATGGGGCAGACAAGGAAATTCGATTTGAGTAGCATTTTGTCTTAAGTTATCCAGTACTTCGACAGCACTCTTTGAAATATCAATTATCTTCCTCAACAGTTACAAAACAATTATCCCCGGCGCCCTGAAAATCACATTTCAAAACAGGCGAAGATTAAATACTTCCTTCAGAGTTAATCGTAATGGCGGATTAGGCTGAGAGATTTTTAAATGGACAAAGACTACCATTTAGGACCTGTCTCTGTATCCGGAAAGAAAAGGTGCTTTGTTTTGGAATAGGTGGAAGGGTAGATTTTGCTCGAAGTCAAAACATAGAGCAGGTTTCGAAGCTAGTACACGGCTGAGTAACTGTAAAGTACTGTCTTTATGGAATCATATTTATCGAACAACCCTAGACCGCCCCTTTCTCAACTGCAGAACGCCCCGTCCGCGTTCGTGCCACCCACCGGAGCGTATTTATATCGCAGGCATGTTTCGACAAAACAGCAACAGTATGTATGTCCTATACTTCTGCTATCAGATAGCGTTTACATGACACTTAATCTAGCGCGCGAGAATGAACTTTATACAAGAACTTACGCCGTATTGTAAAGGATTTGCAATTGAAACAATTATGGTTTCCGCTTGCAATCGAGAGGTGTGAAGTGGAAGGAACTCGAGGTTTTTGTCAGTGCAGCTGGGAGCGAAATGGCTGGCTAAAATTGTCAACATTTTGTTGAGCTGAAAATTTCACATTGACGTCCGCCTGTAGGCTTTTGTATTGTTGGTATGGATTGGTTCCGAATAATGGCTCCATTTGGAGAAACTTATTATATATCAACAAATCCCTATCATTCAATCACATTGTGTCATGAACAGGCTTTCTGTTAAGCTGATTGGTTGTAAACAAGAGCGGCGGCATCTCAAAAGAAGACGTACTTGGGGTTT